AGGGGATCTTCATTTTCATGGTTTTATCTTAGAAAGGTTTTTCCGTAATTTCATTTTGCAGCCATACTTGACTATTTTGTGAGAGGGATAGAAGAAGGGAAATGAATAGCTAACTAAATGCTCAGTTTCGAAATTGATCAATTGTCCTGAGACGCGTTGAGATCCATGTAATAGCGTTGTTTCTTATTTTAAGAAAATTATTTGGCGCCCTCGGAGTGCAATTGCAAAGTAGGTGACTTTCAGGACGAGCTGAATAAGGCTGCCGATGAGATCAGAGAGCGTCATCTGCGGGATAAGAAAGCGCTGTTGGAAGAAACTGAAGATCTTTCACAGTATGAAATCAATGTTGATACAAAGACTCTGGCTAAGGTAATTACATTGGCCTACGTTTTTATATAGTAGCTCAAACTTGGTTCTTTTAGGCCAGTGATATCAAGATGATCTACAGCCGCCCGTTAAGCGCTCCAAAACGGTTGGTCTCTTCGATTTTTGGTGTGCCCGCTCTTGATATAAAATAATCTCCTAATGTTAAGACAACAAAACGGTGACGACGGTTCGGCAAGGAAAAAGAAGAAATTGTTCAAAAAGAGAGGAGCGTAGAAAATGTCACCAATTTCGAATGTTGTAGTCTTTCAAGCTTTTTTTTTATTTTCTCTTGGATCCTCTTGAAAATTTGTAGTTGTGATTCTATAATCATGTTGAAATCTGCAAGATGATCAGAAAGTGTTTTTGATGGTTTCGATTACTTCCCGCTCTGAGTATTCACAAGACTCAAACATTGTGTGTATTGGCGAAAAATTTTGTGCATTTTAGGAATTGTTACCCTCCCAGATTCTTGATGCGTCGTTAACACGACAGAATTTACAAAATTTTAACCCAGACTGGGGCAGGCGGAATACTTGCTATCTTTAACCTTAGCACCCAGCTTGGCGTGTTTATTCCTCTCACTTTCGGGTGTCCCCCAAGAGGCCCACCGCGCGGCGAAGGAAGAGACGCAGATGCGGCAAAGGACGAGTCGCAGCGCGTGCTGTGCGATATGAGACGTAGTATGGTACACTCTATTTAACCTGACGCCTAACCGCTACAGTATGCGCTGCGACTCGTCCTTTGCCGCGTCTGCGTCTCTTCCTTCGCCGCGCGGTGGGCCTCTTGGGGGACACCCCTGAAAGACATTCTGGTGACGTCAAAAATTTTGTTGTAGTGAAATTATTTCCAGAGAGAAAGGGAAACTAAGGAATGCCAGAACACCACTTGTTGTTATTGTGCACATTGTTTTTATTGTTGTTGTCTGTTGTCATGTTACCACCTTGTTACAGTAAATATTTATTATCTTACATATAAATACATAATATTGAGCTGAGAGGGTAGAATCGCGAACTCGTATTGATCACATGGGTTTAGAAAGTGGGCGTCACTTCCATTCCTCAGCAAATGGACGGCAGGCTAGTGTGCAAGGAGAATGTCCGAGCACTTAATTGCCTCCACAGTCCTCTTTGTGCCTATTAAGAGTAATCGGAATCGGATCGGCTATGCAAAATGAAATTAGGCTGAAACTCCGAAAATTCCAAGAATTTTTACAAGACCAGTATGGAAATTTCTTGGGAGTCTACCCTTAATTGAACTGTGGATTAAAGGCAGGTGGCACGACCAACTGAAAGTAGGTGAAGGGGAAATGAGTTTTCTACAAAAGAATATGGGGTCTCTGAGTGGATGATCGTGGCGCTTACGCGCCGAAGCTACGGCCGTAGCGACGTAATAAGGCTTTACCAATCCCACTACGGGTTTCTGTGCCTCTGCCTGCCTCCCAATATCTGCCAGTTTCTGGTCACAGGAGTCTAGTCCCTACATGGGTTATTCGTGGTTCACAGTCGATGATTCGGTACCGATTACTCAGAAACACACACACGTGTTAGAGGCAGGAAAGAGTTGGCTATTGGTCACAAGGTTTTCGTTACGCCGTTAGTAGCAGCCTGTCGTCCAG